AAAATTGGCGGTAATGTTGCGGTGTCAGCGTTCCTTTCAGCTCAGATCATTGTATATTATAATATTACTACCTTGTACTGTTAATCTAACTGATATGGTCAGCCACAGCTTCTGCACAATCTACTGTAAAATAGTTAAGTCTTGTTGCATCGCACAGCAGATGTAATAAGATTTTTCATACCATATCACAGTTTGAACACATTCTTGGGTTCCAGTTTTAGCTTATGCCAGTTTGTGAAATATTTATTGGTAAGCAATTAAAGTTTATGTTTGGATATTTCCTTTCCAGCTCAGCCTTTGCAAATTGTGATTTTTAGAATTTTTTCTCATACCTCAAAATAACATCTTCATTAAATAAGGGGCTAGCTGGCTGTTAATCTAACCTTTTGATTTAGCCTCATTCATTTGTTGATGAATGATTTATGTTTTAATGTTGAGACATACCTTCAACAACCACAGCTGGCTCAGGTTTGGGGGCGATACCTGAAAAAAACAACAATAATAATGTCGATGTCAAAAAATCACACATTTTCATTGTAAGATAACATAAAATGGTCAGGAGTTCGTAAAATGCTAAATTTATATAAAGTCATCTAAAAAAAACATGCATTAACTGATTTATGCTGGTGAAGATTCTCAGTCATCCAGGTCATAGTCATTCCGTAAAAGTGTAAAAACAATCCAATGGACTTGGTTTCCAAGATTTAAAGATGTTTCGCTCCTCAGTTTCAATTTGCATGTTTCCAAGCAATACAAGGCCTGCGAATCCAGACATTTTGAATTGAGAAAGCTTCCTGGATGGGAAGTGAAACGTCTTCAAACCTTGGAAACCAAGTCCAGTGGATTGTTTTTAGACTTTTACGGAAAGTATGATTGTAAAAAATGAATCAGGGTAGCAGTGATTGCTTAACAAAAACAGTATACTGAAAAGATGTAAAGATAATTTGGATCAAGCCAGATGATTTCTCCAAAAAAAATGAAACTTAGAAAAAGACCGATTACACTTGCAAGGGGTTAAGTTGGACAAGTTAAAACCAGAATATGACTTTGGTGATCCACAAGCAAGGATAGATGCCATTGTGGACATTGACTGTTGTAACACCTATTACAATGTAATGATCATCGTAAGAATATCAAGTAGTACAAATCTATTTCTTTTTCTAACAGGAGTCTTCATGCGATGGCATTCCAGGCATGAATAACATGCCTGGAATGCCATTTTTGGTTTTTGTAAGTTCTGTCGGGTTATTTATGTAGTTGGCAATTAAAATTCCCTTCTGGCCATTACAGTCTGCTGTGATGTTCTTCTTTAACCACTCTTATGTATTTTTATTTGTTGCTAACTTGTTCAAAAACCTGTGCAGGGATCTTGTATACAGCTCAGCATTTTCAATGCAGCCTTACAGAAAACAATTAAAGTGGTTGAAAAATAACTGCGAGCAAAACGTATAGGAATAAAAAATTCTTATTTATACTTTGAGTTCATACTTAACACGTCTTTTATGTGAAATGTCTGATTCAGGAGAACAAAATGAAGTGGGAGAACTTTATCCACTTTAAAAGCAAAACAAAAAAGCTGTAAAAAAAAAAAAACTGACTGTGTGAGAACTGATTGTTTCATAGCAAAAGGGGGTTGGTATATTAAAGGTAAAGCTTTACTGGTTCTTTGCCTGTTGTTGGGATTTCATTGGGTTTTACCTTTGGGTATTTGGCAGATCCAGTTATTATAGTAGTCACAGTTCCGGTCATTCCAGTGATGTCCATAGTAAAACTGAGCTTCTGCACAGTGTTCATTGTCATTGTGGTTGTTTGGTTCTCCAAAGCCCCAGTTCTCAAAGCTGAACTAGATCACAGTTTTTGGAGAGTTTTTGATAGTAAAGTTGAAAAGATTGGACAGAAGCTGTTTTTACTGTTGTTACAAACACTGCGTGACTTACAGGTGAGCCATCACTCCAGGCAAAACCCTCATTAGGACCCGTGAGTCTTAGACCTATCCAGAATGGATCAGAGGTATGAATACTTTAAGAGAAAAGAAGAAGAAAAAAAACATCATTACAGAGGATCATTGAACTGGCAAATATAGTAAGCTCTAATATTTTCTCCAGGTACACATACTTTAAATTTTCCAGGTCCTTCATACTGTGTATGCTCATCAGGTCTCCACCTATGGCTTTGCAAAATTCCTGTGCTTCTTGCCAACTCTTCCTTTCATTCTTTACTTTCTTATAAACCTTTTCAATGTGAAACAAAACATCACATATTTCTACCAGAATATTGTTTAAAAACAATAATTTTCACACATTCAATAAATATCTTCATCTTACTTTTGAACAGACATTTCTTTTGGGAACAGGGGTCCAACCGGAAGCACAGGTAAGTTCTGGAGTCGTCGGGGGAATTGTTGTCACAAGCACACCCTCTGCCTGCTTTTTGCAGATATATTTCTCTTTGTTGCTGCAGCTGATAACATCCCATAAACCAGCAAAAGTCCCAGTAGTCATGGCAATACATCCCTGTTTTCTGTCTTTTGTTGAACAAAGAAAAGTCAATCATAACTCCATAAAAAAACACTTGGAAACAGTATAAATGATCAGATTTGACATTCTGTGTCACGCAGTTATATTAAACATCCAAACTCTGAAACAATATGAACATCAAAGACTGCCCAATTATCTGGGATGCTTTATTTGAGTTTATTTTTATAATACTACTCCCGTAAAACAGAATACAAAATGTTTTCAACAACAAAAATGATTGATGAATACCATTCGCAATAATGTTTTTATAGGGCTGTTTTAAGTAAACCAAAAGCCTTACTGTTGTTCTACCTCATCCAAAATAGTTCGTAATCCTGAGATAATTTCTATACTTATGCTGCTGTATGTTTAGGCTGCTGGATGACATTGTGAATTGTCGCCATATAAAAAAAAAAAATAAAATGAAATTTAATTAAAGTTGTAATAATAACAGCAATCAGAACATGAACTGATATCGGGGGAGCATATGATTGTACAGAAACCAGTATAAGACAAAACCAATTCAAAACCAGTATAAATCAACAAAACATTGTCTTGAAGAACAAAACTGTACAAAATTGGACTGTAAATAGTTAAAGAATATTTCCTTTACCTGGCATGCCCATGTTGAAATGAGTAAAGGTAACCTTTCTACTTGTGGTCCACTTAAAAGTATTCTTGTCCTCTGTGTTGGATAAACCTGTCCAAAAGTACTTTTCTGGTCTCAGTCCCACTAAACTGACAAGAAAAGCATTTTCATACCTGTTTGAAAAAGAAATAGTTGATTATTGTAGCACAATGTTTAGGCTTAGTCTTTCCAAAGTGTATCTTAATTTGATAACTGCTGACATTTCTGAAAGGAAAAAGTATCTGAACTCCATTTCAACCCCATGATGTCTGAATTCATATAGTTACAGTACATGTATATAAGATAATACTGTTTTGCATTTAATGGAAACCCAATGGAATAGAAACAAGTGTTTAATAACAGAGGTGTCAACTAACACAGTACAAATACGTTGTTACCTTGCCTAAGTAGAACTTTTGGCCATCTATACTTTACTGGAGTAATTATTTACAGACAACATTTTAAAAACAGACTGGTTAGTTTTATTTAATTTAAGCTAATTTTCCTTATGGCCTGTTAGTATCTAAAAACATAAAATCCATCAAAAATAATTAGTTTCATCCGAACAATGAATTTCTTTGCGGTTGGACTCTGTACAGCACCAAAATAATAGTTGTTCAAGATAATTCAGTTATAAAACTAAGAAAATAAAGTATAAGGAAGTTGTCATGCAGAATTGTAGAAAAATGTTCTTAAAAACAGTCCTGTCCTTAACATTTTCTGATGAATTTGCTTTTATACTTTAAGTAGTTTTAAAAATGGTACTTTTACACTTTTACTTGAGTAAAAAGCCTAAGTTAATACTGTTAAACTGTAGGATTTATACTTCTACTTGAGTAATAAACATTAATACTTTTGACACCTCTGCTTCATATTAGTTAAAGTCCACACTAAATGTGAAATAACTGGCTTTTGGGGGAATGCACACACTATCTTGGCTGTTCGAGTAATGCAAATGATTTGTTGCATATTTGTGAGAACAGGCTTCAAGCGGTTAAAGTTATAATTTAAAATCTCATAGCTTGAAAGATGACTTAGTAGCTAAATGAATACTGATTCATACCTGTCAGCAATATCCACAAGGTTAGCGCCATCTTTTGAGCATGCCTGCTTTGCCTCTTCAAAAGTTTTTGTTTCTCCTCCAATATCATAGCAAAAGGAACCAAACCTAGTCGAGCCCTAAAAACCAAAAAATGCTCTGTGGACCGTCTCAGATTAACTCTATGTTTTAAAAACTGAAATGCGGACTACTCACAAGTTTGCATCCTGGATTCACTTCCTCGTGTGTACCTGCAAGCGGTTTTGTGGAAGCTTTTTTTTTACAAATATACCCATATGTCTTCTCACATATATGATCCGCCCACTTTCCGTCCTGCATAAGAAATGTGGGCATTATTACATCATATTTATGTTGGAAATAGTACCTTGACAACAGGCGGTATTGTATATTACCTTTCCTCGGATTAAGACACAGTCCTCCTGGTGGTTAGTGCTATGAGATGGTTCACCACTCTGCCAGTTGGTGAAGGTCACATGGGTGTGATCAGACCATTCAAAGAGCATCTGGTTCCTCTGATCATTCAATCCAATCCAGAGCACATCTGTCTGTACTGATGGAAGGGAATGAAACACTTTTTAGATAAACAATACTTGTTGGAGCCCATTAAGAATTAGATTAATTTATTTTTTGCAAAATTATAAATGTTAAAGATCTAAGGTTGTGTGAATGGTAGAGCTATTGTTTATTTGTTTATGTATTCGTTTTGCTTTGACCCTCCTCCTTGTCAGTCCGCCTCCTGCTGAGATTACCGTAACAAGTAGAAGCAGCTGATGAGGTGGATCTGATTGTTTGTTTGAAGGAGTGAGGAGTGCAACAGTTTTTTCACACACATCACTTAACTTTATATTTGAATTTTTTTGTAAGTCAACTCTGAGAATATTTCTGTTATTTTTTTATTAGTAAAGAAAACACCCCTTTTTGAAACAAGAAAATTCTCCACGAGTGCTTTTTGTTCTGTGAGTCAAAAAACCTCCTCCTAAGACTACTCTGGCAATTTTTGATTTTTTGGGAAACTATTTTGATGCAAGAGTAGCCATAACAATACTACTTTTTTTGGTTGAAAGTACTATAGTAACTAACCCAGCCTTGTTTGTCAGAGATCAATTTGTTTTACACCTCTTACATCCTGAGACGGCTGAGACAGCTATTTCCTTGCCACCATCTTTACTGATTTGCAAATATTAAAACTTGGGTCAAAACTAACACCTGGCTGCCTGCCTCCATCCCCCGGGGTTCCCGGAGCAGCCCCGGAGCTGATGGCTCGGTTTCGAATGCCCGGTCCGGTCCAGTCAGCTGCCCAGCAGTGTCCTTTTTAGATACCCAAATCTGGTCACCATAGATATGCTAACATTGGTATCAACAGCTTAGCAACAGAATCATACTTACAGCTTATGGTTGTGATGACCTTAAGTTCGGAAAAGCCCCTCATTTGAGTAAAAGAAGTTTAGCAAATCCTGCTTTGAACCACCCCCAATTTGAAAGCTGTCTTCAGTAAAATGCTTAGAGAAAATGAACAGCTGAGCATCAAACTTTGCAGGGATCTTCTGATAGACAAAATAATCCATGCTTGTCGAGTCTTCGGATCCTTGGGAAAACTATGAAGATGTTCCTCTTTCTCCGTGCAGCCTGGAACACTGCATTTACGCAAGTGGTTCTGGCTCATTTTCAATAGAGAAACTGCCTGCTTTGTAATTCTTGTTGAAGTAAACCCAACTGTAGGCTAAAAAGCTAAACTGGTGTCTTACATCTACTTCTATTCATGTTCTTGGGCCAGTGAACCAGTGGGCTGGTCTGTATGTCAATTTCGCGGGGTGATAAAAGTACAGGCCAGAACCAAATAAGGCAACATCCCAGAGTTGACGTCAATTCGGTGGTTCGTTTGGATTCACCCATTTTACAGTAGAAGTTTAAAATTGTGAGATTTGCAGAGAAAGGAGGTTTCCATGGGGTTTGGACTTTTTTGTACTTCCATTTCACCCACTGAACTATCGTTATTCATCTATGACAATGTAAACTCAGTTTTGCATTCTATGACCCCTTTAAGACTTTGCTACTTCCTGCCATGATTGATTTCACTTTACACAAACAGTTAGTGCATAGCTCTGTAAATATGGTAAAATGCTTCATCTTATAGGCATAGTGAGATGAGGACTTCCCTACCAAGAAGAGGAAAGTGCATTTTAGCTCCACTTTTAAACAAAGACGAACGAAACAAATTTATGTTTTAGATGAACTCAGCTTGTATAGTTTACCACCTAGGTGTCAATGCTTAGACAAAGCTTATTTTCCCTTTCAGTTATGTAAATCCTTACTTACAATATCCAGACTGTGTTATAATGAAGCTCTGCTCTTCTATATTGTTGATGCTGGCCAAATCTGCTCCTTCTTTGCGGCATGCAGCCAGAGCGTCCGTCCACATCTTTTTGCTCCTCTCCAGGTAATAACATTGTCCTCCATAAGGCACCCAGTGATTTGGGCAGAAGCTTGGCCCCTGATCTATAAATGAAGCACAAACGAGGCTAAGAACAGATACAAATACAAATGCATTGCAGATGCTTTTTAGATTTTACTTGGTGGTGGAGGCAGACTGGTGGAGTTTCCTTTACGGCAAATGTAGCCAAGTTTTTTGTTGCAGGTACTGCTCTCCCACTTTGATGCTTTTCCAGCGTTTAGAGTTGCACAGGTGAACCCAGGGACAGAGGATGGATGACCTGTGGAGTTCATACATAATTTTAAAACCTCTTTTGCTCCAGTTTGTGAGAAATATGTTGTGAAATACAATTTTCAAACATCAATTCTTACTAACCTGGGCCCCAGTTTAGATATCTGAATGGGTTTCCATTGCTCCACTGCCATCCACTCTCATAGTCTAAGCTGTTCAGCCCAATCCACAGAGATGTTCCCAAATGATTAGTCAACCCTAAGTTAACACATGCATTGGGGAGTTATTGATTTTCAGCTAAATCACCTTAAACTTAGCAGACATAATATTAGCTTTATACCTGAAATGTATGATTGTTCATGCAGCTCCATGATGCTGAGGAGGTCTGCTCCCTGTTGCTGGCAGCTCATCCTGGCCTGGTGCCATGTTAAAGCTGCCTGTGTATTCCTCTGATACTGAACCCCGGTGACCGGATCAGTGTCCCAACCAAATATTGCTGAGAAATAAACAAGTCAACATTTTCATAAACTGATTTACCTCATGGGGTTAGTAGCAGTATATAAACACAGCATACCCTTTGTGGTTGTTTTCAGAGAAATCAATGAGTACTTGTACTTGCAATTTTTAGAAAGGTAATTTATAAGTTCAGGGAAAACGGTTGCTACAATAAGTTTCAGGAGGAACCTGATAAGTTTTGAGACTACTACTGTACCAGTGGGTTCCTCTTAAGTTCAGAGAGGAATCTTATGATTTCTTAAAACACCCTTTAAAAAGGCACCTAAGGGTAAAACCTAGGTTATTAGTAAGGTGATTGTCCTGCAGAATTGGGGAAAATCATTTGTAAAAGGAGGGTAACTGATAAGCACTAGACAAGTATCAAGTTGGTTCACAGAAAGTAGACAGTGGTGTTCAAGAATGAACAGTATCTGTTTGGTTGCACAGATGTACAAAATAATTTTCAAGAAATTAGCAACAAAATGGATAGTTATTTCTGAAAAAAAGCAAAAATAAAAACACTGCCTTAGTATTGTCTAGAACAGGGGTTTTCAAAGTGGGTGCCGCGGCACCTAGGGGTACCACGAGGTCACTACAGGGGTGCCGCAGGATTTTTTCATAGATTGATGAGAGTTTTATATTGAATGTACATTTTTACATTTTAACAATTTTGTACATTTATTTTGATTTAAGCAAATATATTCTAAGGCGAGGGGCTTCATTTTATGTTTTCTTTACTACTTTGAAAAAAATGACAGAAAAAATAATTATTATCAAATAATGTCAAATAATCATTGTAAGTTTAGGGGTACCACGGCTGGGGGGAAAAATGTGTAGGGGTACCTTGAGCCAAAAAAGTTTGGGAACCACTGGTCTAGAAAGTACCGTACTACCAAAAGTAAAGTGCCTTTAAAATTCCCTTAAAGTTATCAGCAAAGTTCAGAAAAGTACCTCCAGAGTTTAGTCATAGTGCCTGGCATGTTCAGAGCAAGTTTTAGGAAAGAACCTTATAAGTTATGAGGTTACAGGACATATATGGAATTCAAACATTAAGTTCCATTAAAGAAAAACTATGTTGTGGATTAGTACAGGTTTTAAGGTCCCTTTATTTCACTATTGTGGGTATAAATCTACATTAAGGTGTTAAACTTCTTAGAAAGGTGGGAAACTAAAATAGGTGTAATTACTACCGTAATTGCCTAAGAGTTTTCTGGCTTCCTTCTTTTCTTTTCTCCTTAAGTGGAAAATTTGGAAATATGTTGCAGCTCTCCGTGAACACAGATTACTGTAGCAACAACACGTAGACTTTATGTTTAACATTTCAAATACTCAAACATACCTTTTGTTGCACAAAACCCCCACTTCTTCTGTTTGTCGTAATCCCTCTCTGTTGCACACCACATCTGTCCATCTGAGCGACCTTCCTTTGTGCACTCAGCGTACCATTTCTCCCCAAACTTAAATGGGAACTGACAGGGAGCTCCAAATGCATTACCTCCTATGCTGAAGGTCTCTGGGGATAAAAAGATCAGATATGGTATGAATCCTTGTGCTGTCGACACAGTAAAAACAATTATTTTTAATTACACTATCAACCTGTATTGGGGTTTAAATGGAACTAGAACTTTTAATGGAACATGTATACAAAAATTACATGATTTTTGTTCTACAAATGATGTGACTGTGCAATCAATGCTGCTATCTCTAGTAGTCTATGGAGAAAAGTTAGGGTACACCCTGGGAAGGTTGCCAGTCGATCGCAGGGCAAAAACGTACGAAACATGCTAAAGAGAACATGGAGACTCAATGTAGAAAGAAATAGAATAAAAATGTAGGACTTTCTTGATGGGAGGCAACAGTGCAGCAGAATGAAAAACACACACACACACACATATTATATATATATATATATATATATATATATATATATATATATATATATATATATATATATATATATATATATATATATATATATATAAATAAAAAACATTTTTTTTGTTTTTTCCTATCCCCACAATTATCAGCAACTGTTTGTTCTCATGTTTTTTTTCTCTTTAAATCTCTTTTATGCCATTTTTTGTGTGGCACCATTCCATTTCTTAGGATAAACACAAAATGCAAACCATTAAATGCACAGTTTAATGTATTGAGTGTTTGGGAAATGTGTGTTTGGCAATTTATAATTTATATGCACTGTTAAAAAAGAATTCAACTGAAGGAAATTGGGACTCCACATTTGCTCTGCCATGAACTATCAACACAATGCAGAAAACTTTTAAAATATTTCTTAACATTTCAGGATGCTGGATGGATTTTTTTATGGGAGACCCAAGTTCTTACCTTGAAAACCCTTTGAGCAGAGATCCCCCTTAGTGCCAAATATATTCCAGCGACTCCACAACCCTGCGCCTTTGTAGATCATTACATTCCTCTCTTTAAAGTTTCCCCAGTTTAGGTGCAAGTCCTGGTCTTTTAAGCCAAATATGGTCTCATTCTTACATTGCCAGTGCTGTAGATTACTGTTTTCATCACATTCAAAGAGGAGCACCTTCACCCAGTCTTTAATTTCTGTGGCTCCTAGGCATAACTTGAGGGACAGACTAAGGAGGCGAGACTCAGAGACCCAGCGGAACTGCTGCTCCTTGGCGTGGGGATTGCACTGTGCCACTGTAACAGAGGTGGCACTCTCAACCTTTATGCACTTGTTGTGGTTCTGGTTGAAGATCAGAAAAATGCCACTGTCTGCAATAAAACAATAAAAAAAAAAAAAAAAACAATAGCTTAATATTAACTCAACGTCATCAATCACAAAATGTTTCAGCACTACTCACCAATGTCAGCATGGATGCAGAGGGCTTGTAGGAGACAAAGAATTAGAGAAAATTTGGACAAAGGTGACATCCTTTTGGACTTGGAAGGTTTTTCAGTCAAGAGAGCGGGGTTTGGTGTGTGCAGAGGTGCTTAAAAGAGTGGCAATGACAGAACCATGGTGTCTCTGTCCTCTTAATCACAGCAATGGATATCCTGTCACATGGTAACATGGTTGGTCAGATCCCTGTAGTTTCCGCAAGTTGTCAAAGAGCTTTTGGACAAAGAGGAAGCTGCCTTCCACTGCTGCACAAAAAAACATTATTGTTAGGTTAAATATTCCTGGGGAAAAAATGACAGGACTTTTGCTTTAAGAAACAACTGATATAATTTGTTCAACTTTTTTTTTATTCTTATTTTTGAGAGACCACCATTGCACAATTACGTCAAAATGTAAATCAGGCTTTAATTTATTGCTTAAAGGGATGATTCTACTTTGTAAACAGCATACTATGAGGAAATGCTGTTTCCTTGGGGAAGTAAGCAAATGTTGTCCAACTCTTGTTTATCAGATTGATACAATATGTATACATGTAAATATGCTACATATTAAGCGACAGACACGTGCCTCGTATTTACATTATGGTAAAACAAAACAAAAAAAGTACATCTTTAATTATGTGGATTCTGTGGATTTGCAGGTCCAGATCAAACTTACAAATGTGAAAGCCAATTTTCTGTGCCTTTTTTTTTTTTTTTTGTTCTTTTGTAAAAAAAAATATGTGGATGTTAAATACAAACACATTTGGATTTGCATCCAAATCATAAAATGCTTTCATATGCATAAAAGTCATACCTATGATGTATGTTTATTCACCTGCTTTACAGTGTCCTAACACTGGGATGAAGTGCATAATACTTAGCATTCTAAAGAAAAAGGATATATAAGATTTGTATTTTGTTTATTCTGCATTCTGTCTTTTCTTCACCCATACATAAAAAATAACAATTGAACTATTAGGGGACAAACATTCAGGCGTTTATACATTTTACATGTTTCCCCAAATGGTCATATACATTTTAGCTTGGATGAAGAGAAAAAACACTACTACTCTTTAACTGAGACCTCTCAAAGCAACAAACAAGGTTAAGTAAGTACATTTTCATCATTGCAGATTAAGCAGCTGCATTGTGCTGCCTGAGCATAACTAATAAAATTACCAGCACATTTTTTGTGCAACTTGAAGGATGCTGCAATGTGCAACAGCACTGTGCAAAGATGATAGGTAAATCTCTATATGGAGAACATGTGGGCAGAGAGAGAAAAAAAAGAAAAAGCCTTCACCCTCAATCAGTATCCATCTGTTAAGAAATGAAACTCCATAGAGTAATGTCTGACATCTTGATCATTTTAACTATTGCAAATTGCAACCAGGTAAGGGTATTGTTTCGAATTCTGAAAACAATTTCACTCAGAAATTGTAATCACATCATCTTTTAATACATCCAAATTGCACAGTGCAGACTGTTTCTCTTTTTTTTCTTTTATAAAAGACTATGGTTACTGATTTGAAAAAATGCTCTGCGATAGACTGGCAACCTGTCCAGGGTGTACTCCACCTCTCGCCCATTGACAGCTAGAGATAGGCACCAGCACCGCTTGCAACCCCAGCAGGGATAAGCGTGACAGAAAATAGATGCATGGATGGATTTGTACAAACATTTCACAGTGGTTGGTTTGCTTGCATAATATCTCCAAATAAAATGTTCAACATCTTCATAACAGCAACACATAAGAAAAAACACTCATCCTATTTTTGCTTACACATGACCATCATTCTTAACGTATAACCTGAATAACAGATGACCCTACCCACTGCACTCTGTGGACTTTCAGCACCACAGACGTGTGGACAGTGACAAGAGAGTGATATGCAGAGAAAATCGTTTCCTTTATTACTTGATATAGTAAAATGTAAAAAAAAATTTCAACCGATAAACACAGAGGAATATCTTATCAGTCCTCTGTTGAGAAAAGCAGCTTAATTTTTATCAATAATGCAGCTGATTGCACAAATGATTTCACTTTACACACATAGCAAGCTAATTGTGAATATTTTGATGATTTGAAAAAATGGTAGATAAGCTTTGTAAGGACTCCTACCAACCTCATGTACTTTCCACAGCTTAATCTCAAAATGCTGTAAGAAAAATTGTAACGTGACACAGATTTATTGCTAAATCTGTGTTGGCTTAACTGTGTCTAAAGGACCAGTATGTCTGTCACAAATATTCGAATTATAGAACTGAAAGCAAGCAAAGAAAAACTGAATTTTTAATCAAACTAATTGCATTTTCAAAGCTAATGAATTTTCAAAACTATGCAATTAGACAAATACAGTCTGAGTCATTCAAATTTTATTTCTGATGTCACAAGTTTATGCACGTTAAGCACATTCTGCCAGATTTTAAAGAATACAGACTTAAAATGAATTATTAAGCAGCTAAGGTTTGGAGGCTGTGTTGAAGCACAACACAATTTGCAAGTACATCATGACACCTTCACTGTTGCTTGTCTGTATGACAGGCTTGTTTTCTAGAAGAATGGCAGGAAACTTTTTCTCTGGGGAGGGGAGACATAGCATCAATATCAGTGTTAAAGGTTCAAGAAAGGAACAAAAACAGACAAAACAAAGGTCAAAGATCTATGCACAAGACGAATTAGACATTAAAGTTAAAATTTTTTTAGTTGAAATTTTATCAAAATAAATATATATGTGTTACAAACTCACACAAATGTTCTTTTTATGTCTTTTTAGCAAAAAGAAACTTATATAACCCAAGAACATATTAATAACAAGTCATGATAGTAAAAACACATTAACTTACACTAGCTTACACATTTCACACAAGCATTCGTGCAGAAGGGTTTCAAGTTATACAAACAGCATATTTTGACAATGATTAAATTAAACATATTGCAACTATAAGTTGACGGTGTGTCCAAATTGCCTAGGAGCTCCCATTTGGCCTGTAAAAAAGTACTATTTTGTAATTCAGCAAGATATTTTACATTAAACACATGGAAACTGTTTGGTTCCAACAGCTGATCTTGGGTCTAAATCTAAATGTTAGCAAGAATTCTTACTGAGACATTTTTTCAAAAGTTCATAATGCAACTATCTTAAAAAAGATTCTAAGGTCCTGTGGAAGAAAAGCAGACCCAGAACATGATATATTCTCTAAGGTTCATTGCAGTTTGTATAAGGTGCTTCTTCATTTCTTCTTCCTTAGTTTCATGTCAATTGTTTAATGCTCATACTTAGGCCTATTTACTTGGCAGGATTTATATTGCTTGAACTGACAGTTAAGTTGTTAGGGCCTTATAGTTTCTTTTTATTGTTGTATATTATTGACCACACAAAATAAATATAACAAAATTAGAGGTTTGTATATATGTGAGATCTTGCTACTTAAATAAAAAATGATTTTGTTGTAAATTCTTTACATTCAGTGGCAATAATTGCTACGGATGATGGGTGTTACAGTTTCCTCCAGGGTTTCAGAATTAGTTTTTTTCAGTTTTACAATAACCTATGGTATATCTATCATATTTGCATCACAAATTGAAATGCATATGATATCTTTGCTAAATATGAATTTTCAGCTGATAAAGCTTCTTGTTGGATCCTTCCAGGTTGCATTTCTTGACAATATTCTGTTTTTTCTTTTGATGGTTTCAAAAGAACAACCTCTCTGTATTAAACACCCTCAGTTTAGTCATGAAGTTAAAGTAGAAAAATGCCAAACACACCAACAGGTTCTTCATCAGATAGAGGACGGGTGTGACAAAGCCAAAGAAGGCTATTAGGCCTACACGCATGAAGAAAAATGGTAAGTCCTGCAGAGCAACTCCCAGAGACGAAAGTAGAGGGGTATTGGGCATGACCACCACACGCAGGCAGGAGAGGTAGCTGAAGATGTAGATAGGAAAGACCCAGCCTGAGTAGTAGACCAATGGATGCCCAGCTACCCTCACCATCTCCACTGTATCCATCCAGAACATAAAGCTGTCCACAAACACGTCTGCTCGGGCATCACTTACACACAGGAACCTCAGAGGGCCCGTGTAAGTGAATGGAGACACATGATATGCTGGACCACTCATTGATGGTGAACTCAGTTCAGAGATGTTGAATGGTCTGTTAGAGTTCCCAGGTATTCCAGGAACTGAACCGTTGGTCTCTGGGCGTATTCCAGATCCATTCTGGTTCCTGTCGCTCAGCTGACCAGCTCCGTGCTGAGGAGGATTGGACATACCTTGCCCGTGCATATTTGGCCGTGACAAGGCGGGGCCGGGCACAGCTGGCCCAGTCAGCACTGGTCCTGGCACTGATGGTCTGGACACAGCTGGGGGGATTGGGGATACTGGTGTTATTGGTTCCACATGAGTTAGGACAGTGGAGGGAAGTTCAGAATGTCTTCTCATTTCATTGGCTGTAAAGAAAAATGTGCAAATAATTAAAAAGTGTTGAAAAAAATTCAACTGAAAGATTTACAAATGATTTAAAAAAAAAAGCACAATCATATCACTGGAGAATCGAAACACATATTGAACTCTCTGCATACAAGTTAGAAAATGATATCCATGTTTTTCTCGGAAGGTCGGCAAAAGTGCAAGCGTCTCAGGATACATTTGGCCCATTTGTGCTCAGACTTTCTATTTCCTCAGGTTACTGTTTTAAAACGAAAATGTAAACATCATGGCAAGAATTACTATTATCAATTTGGTCTCTATGACTGCAACACTTTTGCTTAATCTTTATTTTTATGTTAACAATGTTTCTTTGGAAAACTTAAAACCAAGCTACTTGCTTCCTCTTCATGACGCTGTCTACCTTTTCAAGTTTTTAAACATGTTGCCTTTCTGTTTCATACAAAGACCCATATATAATTAATGATTGCACATAGATCATTTTAAAATGTAAGATTTTTTGAACTACAAAATTATAACATGTAGTCATTTCTACAAAAAAAGAATTTACAAATGTTTGCTCTAACACTCTATCTTTTTTTTTTTTTTTATTCTCCAGTGCCTTCAGTTCAGGTAAGAGTTTGATTGGCTGATCTTATATCAAGCCTCAAAATACATTTTTAATTTCAAAACGATCTTCATTTGATTAAAGGTTTTTATAAAAATAGTAATTCACCCATTTTAACTTACTTAAGAAATGTAATATGTTAAATGATTTACACCCTGTGAGATAGCTATTAAAAAGGCTTTTGTTTGAATAACTTTCAAGATTTTGGCATGCTTTCATTTAGATTTTAAAATTAGATTTTTAGATAAAACCCCAATGTCTCTAAGGTTGAAAGGCTTCATCACGCTAATCTTAAGCTATCTTTGCAGATTCTCCCGTCAAATTAAAGTCAGGACTTTGGCTGAGTAACCTTATGATATGAACATTTCTTCCATTAATTTAGAATAAAAAGAGTTGGAAAATTTGTATTATTCATTAAAAGAAAGATTATATCTGAGACTAATAGTAGTTTCAACTGTAAAAAGTCTATCATGGAGAATCTACAAAATAGTTGAAGAAAGGGACTCATTTGAAGTATTTACATTATAGTCACTATGTAGTTTGTGAGTAAGCAAGGACTCATTCAGTATCAACAGTTGTTTAAAAGATAGTCTCCTATCCGGTAAAGTGTTGTAACTTAAAACTTTCCTTATGTTTTTTTGTTTTGTTTTTGTTTTTGTTTTTCTGCTGCACATCTCAAACTATCAGTGATAATGGGCAGCATTTGTCATTGTGCAACCTGAAGACAGAGAACTGTTTATAAACTCATGAATGCCTCAGGCAATAAAAAATAAGTACAAAAGAACATGTAAACACCATGCAGGAATTTCTTGGGTGGAATGTGATCTCAGAATCTCCTTGTAGCAATGCTTAGAACTTTGTCCCCATGCTGCCCAATGTTAGAGGAAACAGTTTCTTTAAAAAGTCAGCATTAAAGGGTTAAAAATGTTTTCTTTTCTGAAAAAAAAAATCTCTAACATCAAAAGGAGTACCTTCAGTATGTGAAAATGACTGGGTGTTAAGGGAGCAAGTTTTACTCTCACCCTGTCCTGTCAATCTGCAGTGCCGGATCCTCTCCACAACATCAATGCAGATTAAGGAGAAGAAGACCAAAGACACAGGGATCTCTGTAAAGGTATCATGTTTCAAGTTGTTGTTTATCTGTACCTGGACAAAAAATGAGATAAAAATTATGAATTAGGTTTTAGGTTTAGAGATTGCGCTACCAATGACCCAAAGCCTCCAGTTCTCAGTAAACAAGATTAGATTGAGACATTATATCTCTTGCAGCTTTGGTATTTGCTTAAGTCAGTAGTTCACACCAATGGGACACAGAAAAAAGCTGACAAAGATCCCATCTTAGCAGAATTTATGGCACTTTTGGAAAAGACACCGGATAAGAAAAGGGATGTTGGGTCAGCTTAGACTTCTGAGAAAACTACGTGAAACGGCAAACTGAGTTTGGATGGAATCCAACAAGGAAGTCCGAATGTGCCTCATGGACAGATAATTTGACAGCATGGAGAGGAAGAGGAACCAAGCTGCTTATCTGTAGCCTCTTAACCATTAGGTTGGATGTTCTCCCCATGGTACAACAGGATTCTGTCAAATCACAACCTTTGCTCCACTTAAAAGGCCCTCAAAGCTAAACAGATGTATCAAATAGTTCTCTGTATACTGTTACCTCAGAGCTGGCAATAAGAAATGCAAAGCAGGGTAACGTTGACAGGATTACATATACCAGGGCCACGGGCCTCCTGAGGTGACAGCAAAAAAAGATAAGAGATCAAGATGAAAGCAGTTTTAACAGTTGCTAACTCATAGTATTGACATGAACCAGTTACAAGCCTGTTGTGACCCACACCAGCTGAGTTGCAAAAAGCTTCAAGATAATGACACAAACAGTAAGGGCATCAGAAACTTACCACTTCTTCCTCCCGACAATAAACTTCTTTTTCATAAACACCATGTATTTCAAAGGTACCCAAACCAGCAGGGCAGTGGAGGTAACATAGGCAATGGAGGAGGCCACGATCAGCCAGTAGGCAGTACTGCTGTCACCCGGTGGCTGTGCAGATGCTTTGACCATGGCCACAATGACTGCAAATCTCTGCATTACAATAAATAGTGGCACGCACAGACCCGCAAACTGCAGCACTTCACAAAGGGCAAACTTTAATGTACTCCCCGATCCCATCCTGTGGCAGCTCGCAATAAGAGAAGGAAAGGAGGGAGATGGTGAGGCGACCACTGCCCCTCCGAGGGCTGGTCAGGCCTCGGACTGTGGCATTGTCTGCCTCCACTAGCATTTTCCACACATCACAGTCTGAGCTCTCTGCTCAACCAACTGCTTACACTGCACTAGGTATTGTGTTCCCCAGAGTGATGGTGATGTGACAAACCTTTAGTCTAGTTTTATAAAGACAATAAACAGTTAATCAATTCCCAGACCTTGAATGATGTGTTAGTAATGCAACTAAGCCAAAGATTGTATGTCTTTGCAATCTATAAGTGGAGCTGTGACCTATTTAATTGTTTGAGTTGTTAGCTCAGATTCAAGAATCCTAATCAACAAAACCAAAAACAAATTGCTTCTACCACTGATATGCTGCCATCTAGTGACAAAATCATATTGATGGAAAATCAACAGCATTTATTTACCTAAATGCTAATCTTAAGAAAAGTTTTCTCTAACTATTTGAAGATATTGGGGTTTCTCACTTGATAGGTTGGGGCTGTATTGTGATGAGAGTGTTTCTTGCCATTCAGGTATTTTACTCTTGGGAGAGTGTTTCGTATCTGTTTAAAATAAGGTTAATCCACTTTATAATTGGGTTTATGTGTTTAGTTTCTGTATGTTTTGCATAATGTCATTAGGAGAGCCAACTTTAGAATGTGCAGCACTGCATTTTTTTCAAATAGTGCTCCATGTCAGGAAAACAAAACTGATATGCATATATAAAGTAAGCTTTGCTTTCCTATTTTCTTCACACTATGTCAAACATAAGACATATACATTTTTGTTTTTTGTTTTTTACCTACATTGTTTTTGCACATATTTCAAAACAATAATTCTGTCCTGCATCTGCCAATGCATATTTGACCAGTCATGAGAGTGTTCAAAAAGCTCTAAAGAATCATAATAATATTTCAAAAAATGCTTTATAACCAAGATGTGTTTTTTCACATCCACAGGCAGTTTTTTTTTATAAAAAATGCTACATATGAACCAATAAACATTCAGTAAAGATAACTAAGGTCATAGATGATGCCATCCCACAAATGATGCCATCCCAAGAAACTGGGAGACTGTCAGAATTTTTTTAATGCTATTTAAAGATATATGCAATAATAGCCAGAATCAAGGGCTTTGGGACATGGGTGTTAAGATAAGTGACAGTACAGAGTTAAAGGCTAGCATTTATTGGAGCTCAAAAAGGGTATGTTAAGTCCACTTCTCTACTCTGATAACACACAATAGTGTTGTTACAAATGTGCACAAAACCATAGATTTTTCTACAAATTTCTCAAATGCAAACTTTCACAATTGCAGTATTTCCATTAAACAACAAATACAATTAAAACTACATGTGAATACATTTGTTTATGCAATAACTCCGAAAAAAAAAAAAAAAACATGCCTGCAGAGGATGTAAACACATTAGATATAGCATACCGGTATCTATATTTAAGCCATGACTTTAGTGGGAGCCATCGTCCTCCAGCTACTTCCAGGCTTCTTCTTCGTCTTGTTACAAGGCATTAAGGTCCAGCAGCAAATCATGTGGCTGTTGTGGTGTGAAAAACCATGTTCACTACAATGTGTATGAAGACAGATTTTATGGTTTAAGTAAAAAATGCAAGAAAATATTTATTTTCTGAGATATCTCCTTTTAGCATAAATAGCAATGCACATTCCCTAATAGCCACTATGAACCGGCTGTGACTGTAACATCTAAACTCCATTTTACCAGGGCCAGCAAGGAATTTACTAATTTCTTCACTGACAAAAAAACACAAAAGATTAGACTAGCTAGAACCAAAGCTGTGTCCTGCAAGAGCTGATCTTGACAAAAGTTTATAAGCTAAAAAAAAAAAAAAAAAACTTAGAAGAAATCATACTCCCACCATGGTCTTCTTTCTGCGGTTTAGATTTTTTACCCATGACTTTTAAATAAGCTCTGCCTGTTATATCATCTGAGTCAACTAAAATAATAAACACATTATGATTGTCAGGTGTTCTTCTCCAGGACCTAAAACAACTATTTTATACTTGCATTTAAAAAAGCTAATCACAGACAAGTTGCTACTATAGAACTAGATTCCTACAGTATCTTGAACCTCCTCTTCCCTTCAGTAAGATTATTTCAAACAAGCTTGTTTCAAAAGCTAAACACCTTTCTAACAGACCAGCCATTTGGACTTCTTCCGATCAGTCTTTTTTGCTTACTACAGTTAAGAGACTGCCCTTGTTAAGGGGTTAAATGACATCAGATTAAATGCAGACTGAGGAAAAACCAAATGTGCTTGTATTATTGGACCTTAGAGCAGCATTTGACACAGTTTATCACTCAGTGGAAAACTGCCTTTCTCTTTCCATGTTGGACTGGTTTAAATCTTGCTTCAAAGACAGGACCTTCATTGGGTCAGTAGGAAACTTTACATTAGAAGCTACAAAAATGGATGATCTTGGCATTCCCCAAGGATCCCTCTTAGGCCCCCTCCTGTTTCATATCTAAATGCTCCCCCCTACTTAGATCTTTATCAACAACAACAACATAAACTACCGTAACCATACAAACACAAAGCTGCTCATTACAATGTTGCTAGACGACTATGAACCCCTTCAAGAGCTGGGTAAATGCATAGAAGAAATCTCATGGTTGATCCAAAAGGTATAAGTCTCAGTAGTTTGATGCAACGGCAGATATCAAGTTACCAGAAAGGACCAGGAAGATAATAGCTCAATAGAGATTCATATGTTTAGAATGGGCTCATCAATGTCCAGATCTGAATTTACTTTATGATTTGTGATGAGACACAACATGGTTGTTAATATACACTACCCATATGTGAATGGGCTTACACTATTTGGAAAACAACAATAAATAACTGATTGGAAATAATCTCTACATACTGGAAAAGATGAATACAAATACATGCCATGCTTTTTTACATTTAGGGGGAGTGTTGGCCTATGGGTTAGAGCACTGTGCCTATGCTCTAAGAAGGTTGCAAATACCTGGTCGATCCCCACAGCCTTCACTCTGGGTCCCTTTCTTTTTCCAATCATTCTGGAAAAGGGCCATTTCGTTTTAAAAGAATACATTTGCAAGACGTGTTTAGGTCTGATTTAAAGTACATGCAGCGGGGCCAACCGGCAGGCCACGCAGTTGTCCCACAGAGAGAGTGTGTGTGATAGAGAGGGGGTGTCTCTGTGGGTGGATAGATGGATGAATGACCCCACTGCTCCCCACCCCAGCTGTCACCTCCCTTTCTGACTTCCCCACCCTGCCCCCGGTGCCATGGCGTCCAGCGAGGAGGACGGCACGGTGGAGGAGAAGGAAAACAACAACAAGAAGAGAACGAAAAGTGCCCTCATAACAGCATGGCTCACTTTCTACAACATCGCCATGACAGCCGGGTATGTCCCTTTATTCCACCCCCCTCTCTTCCTGCCTATTAATAAGAAAGCCGGATAAGTTTGCCGCTCCCTAAAAAACTGTAAGCGTGTGTTGCTGTTTATAGGACTGAGCCTGTGTGTGTCAGCCTGAAAGTGCCTGTTCAGCTCGAAGGATTTAGCAGCTGCTGGAGTTAGTAGAAAAATATTTTGTGGACAGGGTTGTCAAAGTAGAAGACAGTTTAATAAAAAGCCAGCAGGAAGATCTTTGAATGAAGGGTCAGAAAATGAATGAACAGCGGCAGGTTCGAGGTGACAGGCTGTGGTTGGAGCCGTGTCCAAATAGGGCTGGCTGCATGCTGTCAGCGTCAAGGCCCACTGTGGGTCCAACAGTCGCAGTGATAAGTATAGCTGGACTGAGCTGCTGCTGCTGCTGCTGACACTGGAGCCTAGTCTGGGAAAGCAAAGTGCTCAATGGGCAGATTTTTAGGAACAACACAACATCTGTCTGACTTAAGTAGGCCATGGTGTGTTTATCACAACAAAGAAATAAAAGTAAATCAGAATACTAGGTTATTGGATCAAAATAATCAGATTGTGAAATAATAATAATAAAAAAAGTCTATTATAAATGTTTTTTTTTTTTTATCCAGTCATTTCAGAATTTTTTTAATATGTAATACTGCCTTTCCAACCTCAGATTACAGCAGCATTTACAGTTTAAAAAGGAGGTCAGCAGAGTATATCATCTTTACCTATATTGTTATCACAGTATCATCGTATGCAAGATGTACATCAGAAAGAACTGCCCTGACTGCATTCAGGCTCCACTTCCAGCAATGTATTCGCTTTGCACTTGTGACGTTATTTTAATGACAAAGCATATGTTGGTGAATCTTGTAGAATTGGAAAAATGTACTTATTTTTTTCCCCAATTACTGGACTGACTACTTAAATTTCAATGTCAATGTCTGCTTTAAACCTAGGGCTGGGCGATAAAACAATAAAACAATGAGTCTACCATGATGGAACTTCTTCTTTTTTTTTTTGGATAGTAGCCAATCATAATAAAGGAATACTGTAACAAACCAATAGAAACAGAGCCAGGTCAGGTTAGGTTGACTTGTTTACATACAGCACAACAGTAGCAAAGCGGCCCACGTGTATGTTCGGGCTGCAGCATAAAAAAAATAAAAAATAAAAAAAAAGAGCATTCCTTCTGGAGAGAAACCAACAGAGAAAAGGAGGACATTATTGAAAAGAAGGGCCCAAAAAGTTTGGCAATTGTGGAGGTATTTCGTGTATTTAAAATCAGACGTAAAACAGAGTAGTGTGCACTGTAAATTATACAGAAGGCATATTCCTGGAAATACCACCAATCTTTTTTTACCACCTGAAGCGGTTCCACCCTTTAGAGAAGAGGTCCTCAACAGGGGGTCCACAGAGGTACTGCATGGGGGTCGCGAAAGTTTTGGTTAGTTAGACTTTTTTTTAATATTCCCCCCCCTGCAATTTTTTCCACTAATTGAAATGTCTTTAAATCCACATTTACCTGAATTCAACACACTGTAGTAAAC